AAGTTTTAAAAACGCGTTTTCATATAAGGCAAACCGCACCGCACGTAACTCTCAAAGTTGCGCGCGCCTGTTGCGCGCAAGTCTTAGAGTTGTGCTCGGCACTCCAGCACGACTCTGAGAGTTGCGCACGCCACCTGACGCCGCGGCTCTAAAACCCTAAACCTAGATTCTTACGCCTATAAATAGTGGTCTTCGTTAGCCCTAATCACAACAGAAAATTCAGAAATTAATACCCTAAATTCTAAAATCCCTAATCTCTCAAACCCTCTTACTATCATACTAGTTTTACCTTCTCTTCCTAACCACTCTTCAACCGTAATCCATTCTTTTTGAAGTCCTTTGAGGTACGAAGGAGGAAAGTCCATAAATGCTAAAAACGGAGATCTAGCAACAAAGGAAAATAGTTAGTTTCCTGAGCACTTAGTTAAATCACTTCTCCTTTCTTGTTTAAATAACTTTAATCAATTAATTATTGTTGTTTGATCATTTTAAAACGGTTTTTAATTAATTAATTTCACATAGTATTCTTGCGTTAATTAAAGACTAATATTGAGTAATTAATTGATTGTTTTATCACCTAAATCAAGGTGAATCTTGTTTATTTATTGTTCTTTTCACGAATTTGAATTAAAAAAGAATAACGATATTCGTTTCAATGTAGACTTTTGGTGATTAATGTTTGTAAATAAAATTAACTAACTTAGTTTTTAGGCATCGCGTTGCATATATTGTTTGGTGATGAAATTTTGAAAAGGAAGAGCTACTAGAGGCCGCACTTGGGCTAGAATAGCGATTCCTCCCTAAAAGGAACGTTATTTTGGTACCCTCGCTCCTGAACTCATTTCTGATACAAGTGGACCAATATGGGCATGGGTAAACTTATGATTCATGCTAAATATCCTTGAACTCTACTTGGGAAAAAGGCATGAACGAGGTTTTAAGTTTTCCTAAAACTCATTGGCGACTCCTTATTAGTTTCTTACAAAAAAGCGTAATGATAGAATAAATTCTAATTCAAGGTCCTCTAAATAGCCAGGAATTCAAATCCTAACACTCCTTCAAAAGTGTAAAGTCCTAGGCTTTTAAAGGGCCATGGGAATAGAGGAAGTGGGATCCCAATGACGGGCTACCCTCCTCACAGTGGCAACTCCATTGGGGACTTATGTTACAAGATTAGTTCTTAGTTATGGTTCAAGGTTTCCAACTTAGGTTACCTATGAGTTGTAATGAGGGCTAACTTGGATAATCTCTAGTTAGAGAGTGAGACTTGAACGCATAATATCTTCCTTCTTCACAAAAGTCAAAGCCTAACATGCAACATTACCTCATGCATAATCATAGCACCTTCTTGTTAGGATTACAGTGGTTTCAATCAAGAAAACACTTAAAACAATGTGTGGGAACAAATCCTAAAATATGATTACAATATAATTGTAAATATCAAATACAATTCAATGTATCACAATCAAGTATTAAATATATCTAAGAAATTACTGAAAATTACAAAGATTACACTAGTGTGAAGATGATAAAACTTGCCTTTCCTCCAAACCGTTAATTCCAAGCATGAACATGAGAAAACCGATGTCCCGTAAGACTAGTACCTTGATACACTTTCAAAGGCGTGTCAACGGTGCTTGGGTTAAACCGGAAATCCTCTTTGAGATACAATTGACAACAATTTCATTCTCTGCACTAAGAATCAAAATAAAGATGACAAATTCACCAAAATTGGATTAATTGAAAGAGTTTTTCTCACAAAAGTTTGCAAGAAATTTTGAGAGAAAATGTGGAGAATTCTTTTTGGACAGATGAAGAATAATTTCTGTATTTTTCTTTCACGAAACTTTTCTTTTAATAAAAGACTCAACCGTCAAGAAAAAAACAGCAAAACAGGAAGGCGCGGGCGCTCCACCAAGAGGAGCAGGCGCTCCTCAAGGTGGAGCGGGCGCTCTTCACAAAAACTGTGAGATTCCACAAGAAGGCAGTGAGGGGCGCGGTTTAGGCACGACCAGCAGCGCGGGCGCTCCACCAGGATGCGCGGGCTCGCCACTAGCCGTGCGGGTGCGCCAACCACACCCTTCCATTTTGCTGATTTCCAGAGAGGTGCGCGGTTTAGGCGCGCTCTCTGCGCGGGCGCGCTTACCTTGCGCGGGCGCTCTTCATGGTCGCGAGCGCGCAACCATCAACACTCTAAATATTCAACAATCCTCCCCCATTTAGAGTGTTCCTTTAAAACATTCTCCACTTCTAACAATTAAGCCACATCTCATGCATTAATGTCAATGTCCCTTTGGATTGAATTGACACCTAGTACAACACACTTAACGATGATCATATCCCGTGATTTACATATGGATTGAATCACACAAATATATCCAACCATTCGAAGGTGAAATACACACAAGACAAGTCGAATTTATCATCACTTGACACTTTTATACAGCCATGTGTCTGTATCTTTCATAAGTTCATCAAAGTCTATATGTCCATCTAGACTTCTTGAAGCGGCTAAACTTCGAACTCATATAGGTAGGTTCTCATATACGTTATGGTGCGCTTGTGATAAGACACTTTCATTTAGAGCTTCTCAACTCTAAATCTTTGAGAACTTTAAATAGACACTACCTTACACATCACAAGTAACATAACAATATGGGTCATCATACATTGCTATCAAACAACAAAATGCAATTCAACCACATTGAATCTAAGACTTGATGTTTCTTCAAGCGTTAGATTAGGTTTCACAAATTCGTGTTTTTGGACATAAACCCATTCCATTCATAGCAAATATGATGGAATGCCTTGGCATTGCCTTTGTAAAGCAATCTGCCAAATTCAACTTTGTTGGAACATAGTCAAGACTTATGACCCCATCATTGATAAACTCTTTCACTAGGCTATGCCTAAGTGAAATATGCCGTGACTTACCATTGTACACTTGACTATAAGCCTTTATCAACACCGAATTGGAATCACAATGGATTGCCACCGGTGACATTGGCTTTGGCAATAAAGGCAATTTTATCATGAGATTCCTCAACCACTCAGCTTCCTTACTAGCTAAAGCAAGAGCTATAAACTCCGCTGCAATAGTGGAATTCACAATGCAAGTTTGTTTCTTGGAAGACCATGAAATGACACCTCCCCCAAACATAAATACCCAACCACTTACAGAAGAATGCTAGAAACAACAAACAACTCATTCATGGCTAATCCATTTTGTTCCAAGCTACCATAAATACGTTGCAATTCATGAAATTGGTCCATTATGGACCGACCATCAACAAATTTAAAATTATTAAAATTGCTAAATAAAAATTTCTTACTTGATGCATCTTCCGCCATGTACTTGCTTTTTAAGGACTCCCAAAGCTCCTTAGCCGACTCAATATTTTGATAGACATCAAATAAATCATCCTCCATACCATTCTAGGTATGACCACGACAAATAAAATCATCGTTGTCCCATTTCGATCTTTCCCGAACGGATTCCAAGGTCTCATTCTCATATTCATCCGGCCTTGGAGTACTTATCACATAAGCAACATTTAGAGATGTAAGAAGAAAATACATTTTTGTTCTTCCACCTTCTAAATTCAACACCATCAAACTTCTTGAGTTTGACAAAATTTGTTGTTAATTCCTTCACACTAGACATACTTAATAAATTCTAAACTAAACCTCTTTAGATTATTAGGATTACAGTGGTTTCAATCAAGAAAACACTTAAAACAATGTGTGGGAACAAATCCTAAAATATGATTACAATATAATTGTAAATATCAAATACAATTCAATGTATCACAATCAAGTATTAAATATATCTAAGAAATTACTGAAAATTAAAAAGATTACACTAGTGTGAAGATGATCAAACTTGCCTTTCCTCCAAGACGTTAATTCCAAGCACGAACATGAGAAAACCGATGTCCCGTAAGATTAGTACCTTGATACATTGTCAAAGGCGTGTAAACACTTTCCTAAAGAGGTTTATTTCCCCCACACGGTGCTTGGGTTAAACCGGAAATCCTCTATGAGATACAATTGACAGCAATTTCGTTCTTTGCACTAAGAATAGAAATAAAGATGACAAATTCACCAAAATTGGATTAATTGAAAGAGTTTTTCTCACAAAAGTTTGCAAGAAATTTGAGAAAAAATGTGGAGAATTCTTTATGGAGAGATGAAGAATAATTTCTGTATTTTTCTTTCACGAAACTTGTCTTTTAATAAAAGACTCAACCGTCAAGAAAAAACCGCAAAACAGGGAGGCACGGACGCTCCACCAGGAGGAGCGGGTGCTCCTCAAGGTGGAGCGGGCGCTCCTCACAAAAACTGCGAGATTCCACAAGCAGGCAGTGAGGGGCGCGGTTTAGGCGCGACCAGCAGCGCGGGCGCTCCACCAGGACGCGCGGGTGCGCCACCAGCCGTGCGGGCGCGCCAACCACACCCCTCCATTTTTCTGATTTCCAGAGAGGTGCGCGATTTAGGCGCGCTCTTTGCGCGGCCAGGCCTACCTTGCGCGGGCGCTCTTCATGGTCGCGAGCGCACAACCATGAACACTCTAAATTTCTAGGTGTCGTAGTGAGGAGCAGGTGGAGGCGGTTCAGGCCATTAATTACATGTGGGTCCTTTTGGGTAATACGTTCTTTACTGACAAGAGCGGTACCCGTACTCACCCTTCTTTTCTCAATGAGTTATGTATCGAGGATAACCTGGAGAGGTTGACGAGATACTCCTGGGTTCAGCCACATTAGCGTACTTGTATCGTCAGCTCGGGTATGCCACCCGAAATGGATGTGATTCTATCGCGGGTTGTCTGACTCTTCTATAGGCTTGGATATACGAGTACTTTCCATGTTTTCGGCCTCACCAGGGTGTGTTGACACGAGACGTCCCTCATGCTCGTGCAGGGTTATGGGATGTTGGTATGACGCGGAAGCATTAACAACGTCTCGTGTCCTTTCGTACTCGACTTGACCAGCTGGGTGACTATGAGGTATAAGTAGATACGTAATTACTATTTGTCTTATATTGATTTTATTTACAGTTGATTTACAGGTATAACTAATTTGCAGGTATGTTGGTTGCCATACGGTGCTTTTCCTGCACAACAGGTGCCTAAGACTATGTTCTGGATGTATTCGCTATCGAGGCATCATAGAACCATATATGCCCGATCGAGTTGTTCGACAGTTGGGGTTTATACAAGAGATTCCCGGTGACATGATTAGGCCTGATGATGCTCAGAGACCACTTAGTGTGAAGTCTTATAGGGTCAGTTTTTCAGCTCAGATGATCACTCTCATGTGGGATAGATTTGTCCCCGGTGCTGCGTTCAGTCTTCTTCTTGGTGGATATACTAGAATTCCCCGTGGTGGACATACTTGTGCCCCTGACTACCTACCATGGTTTGGGAGAGTTAGCCAACCTATTGTCACTCCTAATGTTGAGGATGATGTCGGTCTTCCTGAGAGGACCAACGTTGATTACGTATGTTTTTTGTTAGTTTTTTTTTTAATTTAATGATTTTTTTCCTATTATTTCTATTAATACACAATTATAATGGTTTGTGCAGTGGGTAGGGCGAGTCATGGTTACAGCGCAGCGATCACTTAGTGAGTACCCTACGCTATCAAGGGAGACCAAAGTAATGTTGTAGCAGCTGATTAATGATTGGAATACAATAAATGGACTTAGAGATTAGGTGTAATATGTATTATAGCTTTGACTTTATTGTTTTATTATACTATGTTTTGGATGTTGTTAGTGGACATTTATATTTTATCTCATTTGTTGAGAATTATCAAGTTGACATTTATATATTATTATTTTATTTTCTAATTACATAGTACTTACTTAGTAAATTTTTAAAAGAATTTCTTAAAAAAAAAAATCATGTTTATTAATAAAGTTATATAAAGTTTAATAAAAATCCATAACAGTACTCAAGAGCTAACTAATGTCTGCCACAATTGAAGCTTTCTCTCGTACCTTGCCTCCCATCCATGTACACTTGCCTGTCGAGCGTTAAACCACATTGGTGAAATTGGAGGAAGTGGGTGGTCTTGATCCATATGCAAACGAATGAAATGCGATCCACCAACAGTTCCAATCACGAACTCTGCACAAGGCCTGTCTAAGCGTCCACGATTGTTCAACGGTAAAATAGTGGTAGATGGATAGTAGCACGATGGTCTATTTCCCACTCCATAACAAATCACTACCACATTCCATTTTGTGGCAATAGCAAACAAATCCTGCTATGCTACCATCCAATGCTCCTGTCCACACGCATCACCATCCCATCTGATCCGGTCTACCTCCCTCTGCAGTCCAGAACCAACCTGTTGACCCCATATGTCGTAGTAAATCATGCTGTACAACCAAGGATGAGAACCAACCTCATTTGCGATATGATGTCAAACCAATCGCAATTCCTCCTGATCTCCGTAACAAAAATCTGCTACGCAACGAAATCCGCATTTCCTATCTCCAATTACGTCCTTAGCACCTACGACTTAAGGCCACATGATGTTGGGAATCGTGTAGCTGTATCTACATTGTCGCATGTCGAACCCGGTACCTACAAAATAAAAACCATAATATGACATATAATTAAGTTATTACACAAAATAAATTAAATTATACGATGTATGAAAACATTATTTAATTATATCGATAATCACCTGTATCAGATGGGGGTGGTCTACTTCTGGATCGATTATCTCGCCCATTACGTTGAACATGCTAAAAAAACGAACGATCTCGCCTGTTCCTTCTCTCGGGAGGTCGTCCCCTTACTCGAGGGTTGACTCGAGGCTCCTGAAGGTCACCGTAGTTAGGATCCATCCCACCCTCAATCACTCGAGACACGTGCCTAAGAATCACAATGTCGCTGGCAATAACCTGATCAACATGGGTGCAGAAATGAGCTCGATCCTCATCATTTTCATCAACTATATCAGGAATGTCGACACCCGCTCCAATGACAAGGGTCCTCCAATATGGATGAATGTCCTTCGTATACAACCCCTTCCCTGCAGTAATCGAGTCATATATGTGGCACGCACAAGGTAACCCGTGGGTAGTACGTAGAGCACACCCACAACATCGATGGTCATCCATACTCAACCCTCGCATCCTGTTCGTCTCACCAAGAAGAATAGACAGACAATAGTGGGATACCTTTTCGTTCAGCTGATGCAAAGGCTTCTGCTTGTACTTCTGACCATGAGTTTCTCTACATGCCTCCAACCCATTACGAATGGCTATGATCTGGTTCTCAATCGAGCAGTGCACCTGAGCCCAAACTGTGTCTAAAGAACCTGTAGAACTGTCAATCCAACATTTCAATGTCGAATGCTGGCTCTCAACCCTGCAGTTGTTAACATTGCCAAACTGCAGTACCTGGTTCGTCCAAAACATCACAAACTTCTCCTTGTGTATGAGCCAAGTGTCCACAACATAGTCAATCACTTTCGGCCATCGACCCCACTTGGTTTTTAGGTTTACAAGCTCTCTTTCATATGCCTCTTCAGATGTAGCATTAATCACATGCCTCCACCTCCCATTTTTGAACTTGGCACCAATCTCCTTCTTTTTTTTAAACATGGAAGTAACCTTCGCCTCAACATCTTTGTTAATATGCCACACACACAACGCTGCACAAAGGCCAAGCTCCCTATCTGTCAGTAGTACCGACAGCTCTCTATGATGACCGATCAACAACCTCAAGCACTGAAGCACCCACCGATAACTTTCTTCGGACTCCGACCTCATAAATGCGTATGCAACAAGAAAGTTTTGATTTGTCGGTGTAACCCCAACAATCTCAAAGAATGACATGCCGTATCGGTTCTTCTTGTAAGTGGAATCCATACCTATCACGTATGGGTATGTGCGTAGCAAATTTGTCATGATCGGGTGTGCCATGAAAGCATGTTGCAACACATTGTTGGTATCAGTCATAACCCAAGTAAGGTATTTTCTTTGTGTGGCCAAATGAAGCACCTGGTGAACCACCTCTCTTCCCTCGAATCGCTCCATTCTGATATTACTTCTGTAGTTGTAGACATGCCTGATGTTTGGATGGTCTCTGGGAAACTTTTCTACAAGAGTTCTCATGATATGCCGAGGTGGCACCTGTGCCTGAGTCATGTCACGTACTACCTGCTTAGAAGCAAGACTAAGACCGCTGATTTGTCGATGTCCCTCGGGATACACAACTAAAGAATGATTGTGAGTGCCGTTCAAGCAACTGAGCTTCCAACCACTTACTACTCTGACATACTCAACCTTGAGTTTGAAGGAACAACTGTTTGCCTTGCTTTTCGTGTCTTTGCGTATCGTGTTCATCATGTCTCTTACCATGCTCTTTTTTCCACGATCACAGCTCACACATCGATACGGCCGACCACTCTGATCGGTCTTATAAGAAGCCTTCACTAACATAAATCCGAGCGGGCGACAAACATTTTGTGCCCACAGAACAACATCCTCAAAACTCGGAAACACAATATCTGTAAAAAAATGTCCGCTATAGTCCACACCATCACCATCCTCGGACTCATAATCCTATATAATAATAATAACAATAAAAACAAATATTAATAAAAGTTGACAAACAACAAAAACACAACGAATAATAATAATCTAACAACGTACAACTAATAATAATAACAACTAATAATAATAATAATAATAATAATAATAATAATAATAATAATAATAATAATAATAATAATAATAATAATAATAATAATAATAATAATAATAATAATAATAATAATAATAATAATAATAATAATAATAATAATAATAATAATAATAATAATAATAATAATAATAATAATAATAATAATAATAATAATAATAATAATAATTCTAACAATACACAACTAATTATAATAACAACTAAGTGTGATCCCTCACTTATAAACGATTGAGAATTTTATAACTAGAGAAACTAATTAAGTAGAGTAATTCAAAACGACCCTCAACAAATTCGTAGTATATAACTATAATTTTTTGAACAACATACTTATGAATAATACAAACAATAACATATTAAGATTGATAGAACAATACGACCCTCCTAAACAAATTTGATGCCTTATGAACAATTCATCCAAATACAAACAACATACTTTACAATCGGAATTGATACATAAAAGTTCAAAATTTTTATTGATAAATAAAAATTCAAAATTCATCCAAATATAAACAACATACTTTACAATCGGAATTGGTCATCTTTCAAAGTAAAACAATCGGAATTGATATAAAAACAACATACTTTACGATTGGAATTGGTCATCTTTCAAAGTAAAACAATCAGAATTGATAAATATCAATCGTCAACGTGTTTTTTTAAGAATTAAAATTCAAAATTTTCTGTTTTCGAAATTTCCAGGCAAACACCCAGAAATTTCGAAAAACCTAGGATAAAACGCCTAGTTTTTTCGAACTATCCTAGGGTATCTGAAAAAACTAGGCGTTTCAGCCTAGGTTTTTCGAAATTTCTGGGCGTTTTCCTGGAAATTTCGAAAACAGAAAATTAAATAATCGGAATTTCAAAAAAAAATTAAATAATCGTACTGATTCCGTACGGTCCGACAAGTCTCCGGCGACCAACGTAGGTGTTGTTTCCAGCCTTTCGTTGTCTTCCATGTTATCCGACGAATTAGGTTTTGCAAAATTTAAATTATTTGTTTGATTTTGAAAATTATAGTGATTGGTGGTTCAACGCGATCGTTTGTGGCCAGTGTGAGCACTAGAGAGAACGGTAAAAAAAATTATGTAGGGGTAAAAGTGTTAAGTTCATGTAAAAATAATTATTTTATAATATTTTTATAACAAGGCTACGTACGTCATTTTAGGTTATTTTGCGGGCGTTAGTTAGAGATTCGAGGGCGACGTTTAGTGTTCCACTTAAGGAATTATGACTGTTGTGGTATGTATATGTGAATTTAGTGGAGAAATTACATGTGAAGAGTTAAGGGTTTGTTGAAATGGTTTTATGTAATTGGGAAATCCCATTTATCGAGAGTTCATTTGAACTTGGTAGGAGGAAATAATGCCGAGGAAGAGCAAGGGATCAGGAATGGTGAGTTATTTTTGTTGAAATTAAAAGATTGTGTGTTTTCTTAGTGGTGGTTGTGTGTTGTATTTGATTTTTGGTGGCAAATATTTGTGTTTGTGTAGGCGCGGTCAAAAACCGTGAATGAAGAGGTGCCTGAAAAAGAAAGCAGCTAGTAAAGGGAAGAAGAAACTGAAATCTGATCCAGTTTTTGAGGTAGAGTATTTAAAGGACCCTGATGAAGCTGGTTTTGATGATCGTGGTTATACTGAATCTAGTAGTGATGAAGCTGTTTGTCATGATGTTGTTTCCACATCTGGTGATTATGAGGAAGATGAGGATGCGGAGGACGATGGTCAAGGTAGTGAGGAAGAACCAGAACAAGACAAAGTGAGCTACCAGGATCTCCTGATCAAGTTATTACGGGAAAAGGTTGAGAAAGGGAAGCGCAAGCGAGGTCATATTGAGAAAAGGACAGGAAAGAGGGGCAAGCTAAAGGTATGTCATGTTAGATGGAAATAATAAAAGCTTATTTGTTGTGTAATACTTGGATGGGGAAATAAAATGTGTAATGTCATGTCTAGGTCGAGAAGACGAAGGGAGAAGTAGCGAAGGAGAAAGGGGTTGTCGTTAAAACCCAATCAAGAAGTACGCAGAAGGTATCTGTGAACATTATTTTTTGAAATCAATGACATAGAAATGTCTATTGGGAGTTCTGTGGTTGGTCCTTTGTTTTGTTTAGGTAGTTGGGTAAATAAACTGAATTACTAAAGATTAATTGTAAATTGTTTGTAAGTTAAGTATGAATATTGTGAGTCCTTAATTGGATGTGCAAGATTAAATTCCCTTATAGAATATTCACAAGTAATTTGAATG